TATATATATATATATATATATATATATATATATATATATATATAATGTGTATATGTTTTCTCTCTTTTTAAAGTTTAGGGTTAGTATGCCTAACAGATGTGTTCAATGTAAGATCCATCAGACAAAAAGATGTACTGCTACGTGTCACATTTATTTATTAATTTATTGCAGGTGCAAAGAGCCGTAACTAGGCTTTCAGTTCAAGGTGCTGTCACACGTCTGTCCTGCTGTAAACAAGGTTTTATGATTTTAAAACAATATAGATAATTAGTCGACATTTTAAAATGTCTTTAGTACTTATATTAGTAATAACGTGCTTTGCGTTATCAATAATCTGCATTTCTTAAAGATAAGTGGACCCTTACACAAAGATTTTAAAACAATCAGATTATTTCTATTTTAAAACATTAAACAATCCATGATTTATTTAGTAATTGTTTAATCTTAAACTAGGGTATACAGACTTCAAAACAAAAGATTTTATGAGAGAAAAAAACAACCCAGAACCACAGTTAAGCAGAAACTCAAAAAAGATCTACATTTTGCATTTAAGACGGGAAACCTTTTTCTTTAAAAAGATAAAACTGAATAACTTTTTTTGTCACATTCTGCGTCTGATTTCCCTATCCTTCTGCCTTAAGTTCTTCTTCCCTGATCACCAATCATGGGTGATCAATCATAAAATCGGCACCACTCTGAAATGCATGAAAATTATAGCAGTGGTACGTTAGAGGACCATACCAAAGATGTAGCCGTCTGCAAAGCTTCTGACAGAATCTTTATGTTGAATACAGATAATACTGATCATTTATTTTTAGTGTTTGAAACTTAACAAAACTTCTTATTTAGCAGTGAGGCAGGATATGTGCTCTGGGATGTGTTCTGTTTGTTCTGCATTGATGCTGTAGACTGGGGTGTTTGTCAAAGGACACTGGGTCGTTCTTCCTCCTTGACCCAGATTTTCTGCAAAGCTGTTGCGTCACCAGGCCAACTGTGCGTCTTACAGCCTCCACAAGGCCGCGATTCATTATTTGGGAGTGAGGCTCTACTGTGCTTAAAGCATCCTCTGGAGTTGGATGCTTACTGCCTTTAAACAAGGGGAAAGTTGAAGCTGTTGAAGGTGTTAATTGTGGGCAGTGTATTGATTAGCTGCCTTGATGGAAGTAATTCTCTTATCTGATTTTTCCTTTACTTTTTGCAGGTTTTTTTCTATTTTGTACATACAGAGTTTTGTATATACTGTATATGATGAGCTCGCTGGGCAGCGACAAGGCCCGGGGTCCTCGGGAAAAAGCGCTGCCAGCTGTCACTCACACTTCACAACCAC